ACTTTTGCCAAGCCTAGTTTTAACGATTAAAGGATTACAAAACAGAACTAGTGGAAAACCTTTTTAACAAATGACAGAATTTTTCAACAACAATCAACTCACGAGATGACATCACCGCTTCGAGTCGCCGATGGCACTAATGCACGGCCATCGTTCATGCTCTCGTTATCGGCATTGGCGATGGCAGCATTACTACCACGACGATCTTCCGCCACTGCTGGGTCCTGTTCAGCATCATTCGGCATGACCCGAAAACAACAACAAAAACGAATTTCTCATAGACATACCGTTGACAAGGTGGAAAGAGACACCGGCCGTTCGACCATTCACACGATAATGCTTCGATACGACGTGATTTAATCGTTTATAATTCATACATGGGCAATACAATAGTCATCATCTCAAGGTTTTACTATGTACATTTAACGATTGGATTATTAGCTATCTTGCATACACAAGTTTTCCAGATACATAAGTGGCTTTTACATCAACATTGTCTGATATCAGTACCAAGTCAGCATCCGCATTCACAGCAATGATACCTTTTCTATCTTGGATTCCAAGGAGGGTGGCTGAAAAATGTCGAAGGATTAGTAAAACTGCACAAGAATAAAAAGAAAGGGTGTTCCAGACAGGACACGTCATACGTTGAGAATCCGTATGATGACGGCCGTATTCTGTTACCAGAGGGAGGGATCGTATCTCGCATTGTGGAAAATGTTCTCGGTTTTTGCCTTTTGTCGACTTTCCTGCTTGAATTATCACCATATCCCCCTCTCGCGCGCTCAATGGAAGTTATTCGAAGGAAGAATTAGGGTTTTCTGAAAGACTTAGGGAAAAAAGGTGAGAAGATGGTAGAATTTAGGAAATGGTAGGCAGGGTGGATGATTATGGCGTGGGGGAGGAATGTCGCACCAAAGGAGCGAACTTCTGAGGAGCGGGTGGTGGCTCGACGCGGTATTACTAGCGTTCTTCGCTCTGCGGATGGGGCAGTGGCCTGTCAGGTTGTTAGATTTGTTGCTGCGGTTCTAGAAGTTCTCTCGCTGTTGAAACAGCAAACGATGGTTGATGAAAAATGACTGATACAACTGATATGATACTGTCTTGTCGCTTGCTCACTAAAACAACTGGTGAAGAATGGGCTTGGCGCCGCGCCGAACCCATCCTATCTGACACGCCCCCTCATCCGCTGAGGCTGTGGAAGGGCTATTGCTATTGCTAAAGGTGGCCATTGTGCCTAGGGCCGCGTAGTGGTTGTTATCGACGTAAATTGGGTCGTTTAGGTCCTTTTTTTTGTGTGTGGCGGCGTTATTACAACGTCGCCAGATGCTAAGAATTTCTTTTTCTTTGTTGCGCATATGAGTGCTTCTTCTAAAGGACATCGAGCTGCTTTGACAAGATGTTTTATACAATGCGGCATTGAAGCGACGCTAAAATAATCATTATAAACCTCCAAGGTTCAAAAAACAATTGGTGAAAGCGAACCTGCCGGCTGTAGTATCCGTTCCTACCGCTACGGCCTTAAGTCCCACAACGTCCACCACGACATCTCCCAGTTTATGGCGTCCTTCACCCATTCCCAATGCTGCTATTGCATCCGTAACCAGGATCAGTCCTTCAGGGCTGGTCCTGGAAAGAAAAACGTACAGCAATTCTACGGTTTATCACACAAACCAGGATTATTGAGAGATCCACGTTGACGTGACTCGGTTCGAATGACGCGCATGTGACACCGCTTGCGAAGTTTGCAACATGCATTTCCAAACCGACATGCCCCAAACAAGTAGTAGTCGGATTCCAAAGGATGAAAGGGTAGTAATAAACCCTAGCCAAGGCAGTCACATAACGAGGCACCAAATGTAGAATAATACTGACCTATAGGCAATCCTCAGGGCTGAGTCATGTGTATGAATACCATCCGAAATAATGCCATAGTAAACCTTCCGATCGCCTAACATCTTCGATGCCAGCAAGCCGATGAGGCACGGATCTCTATGATGATACTGAACAATAAGTAACGATAAAAGTACGGCGGCACTAGGGAAAGGCGGACAACACAATCGCAATCTGCCGCGCCAACTCGATGCAGGAATAACTCATCTCTCGCGTGCGCGATGCCGCTCGCGGCGACGGCACGGCATACTACGATTGTCTTGTCACATACCCGAAACTCGGTGCTGAAGGGGTTCCGAAGGGTACGCCCTCACTCTGGCCGTCTGCATTCTTTAGGGGGAGCTGTTAGGGGAGTGTATCTAGGTGAGAGAGTGCAGAAGAGCAAGCTTTGCCGTGTCATTTTATCTCCTCCCCAATCCTTAGCACCAGAGGAACTCGAGGCATGCTAAAGGACTTTTCAAG